ATATGAGAAAAGCCCTGTTGATAGCAGATGGACGACCAAATGAAGACCCTGCAAGCCTCGATATGTTCACAACACAAATACTAATTGAAAAGTATCCAGTAATAGTCAGCCGCCACTTCATGATCAGAGTTAAAGCTCTCATGAGAATCCTCAAGAGTAACACTGACATATTTGGTGGAAAAATGGTTGACTACTGGTGGAGAGTTGAATTCCAAGTGAGAGGAAGTCCACATTTACATATGGTAGTATGGATAGAAGATCATCCATCCTTCGACACACCAGAAGGAATTGAGAAAATTGATCGTAACTGCTCATGTGAAATACCTGAAGAAGGATCGGATTTGTATGAGCTTGTAATGAAATCGCAAATCCACCGCCATACACACACTTGTAGTAAGAATGACCCTAACTCGAATGTATGCAGATTCAGTTTCCCACGGCAAGTATGCGAAGAAACTAAAATCGTTGCCCACTCATCAGATGAGTTTATCAGAAGTGGAGGAAGAATATGCATACTCAAGAGAAGGCAACAAGATAAATGGGTCAATAACTACAATCCGACACTTCTCAAGTTGTGGAAAGGTAATATGGATATACAACCATGTGGATCTAATGAAGCGATAGCACATTACATTGCAAAGTACATGTCGAAACCAGAGCCTACAACACTTGACAGAGGTGTAGCACAAGCCATACAGCAAATACGACGTGAAGAGACAAACATTTCTCGGAAGCTCTTCAAGATATGTATGAAGATCTTAGGACAAAGACAGATATCAGCATGTGAAGCTGTGTTCCGGTTAGCTCATCTAAATATGAAAGAAAGCTCAAGAAAGACTGTGTTTCTCAACACACGCAAACCTGAACAACGCTACAAGATGTTGCAATTCGATCAACATGGACATGCATCGGGATATTGTAGCAACATATTCAATAGATACGAGCAAAGACCTGATACACATCCCAAATTCGACTTCGATAATATGAGCTTAATCGAATTTGCTATGCTGTTTGAGCCTCACTACCGGAAGCAAGATGGAGATAATGAAGAGAGTATCGATTATGATCCTTCTGAAGAAGAGTTCTCTACAACTCGAACGATAGTCAGACTGAAAGATGACACCAGAATGGTATTGAGAACTAGACCAGCAGTTATACAAGTACCATTCTTCATGGCAGCTAATGATCCTGAGAATTACTACTATAGCTTCCTCGTTCAGTACATGCCATACCGCCAAGAAAGAGAGCTGATTGAAGACTATGATTCAGCACAAGAGGCATTCATCGCACGAGAAGAACGACTAAAGGAAATAAGCAAATATATGGAGACATATAGAGAGCGTGATAAGCAGTTACAAAATGCCTTCAACCAGGTGCATGCATTCGAGATTCTAGCGGAAGGTGCACCAATTGAAGAGGAGCCCTATGAGGAAGAAATTCCTGAAGTTGGAATGACTGATGACCAATTTGTAACTGCGCAGCGAGCGATGAATGTAGGCCAGCGAGAATTGTTCATTCACATAACACAGAGCATACAGGATCAGATGAATGGAAGCACTGATCGAGAGAGACTCTTCATAACTGGTGGTGCAGGTACTGGAAAGACATTTGTGTTCAACCTACTAAAGAATCAGGTGAACAGATGTTATGGCAAAATAGCTACAAAATCAGCAGCGTTAACAGGAGTAGCAGCACGACTAGTTGGTGGTATGACATTGCATAGCATATTGAAACTCCCTGTAGAGAAGAATGGTAGAACAACAGGACTAGCAATCCTGACTGGTAACGTTCTCCGAACAATGCGTATGCAATGGAAAGATATAGAATTCCTCTTCATAGATGAGATCTCTATGGTGTCATACCAGGTATTATGCATGATTGATTCGCGCCTCAAGCAACTTAAGAATAATGACGAGTTATTTGGAGGTATCAATGTACTTCTCTTCGGTGATCTCATGCAATTACCACCGATAAGAGCAAATCAAGTGTTTGAACAGCCAACATCAATGAGAGCAGCCATACATCTCTGGAGAATATTCACACTAGTAGAATTAACACAGAATATGCGGCAAGAAGGTGACACCACATTCATAGATATCTTGAATGCATTAAGAGTTGGTGAATTGCAGCCTCATCATATGGCAGTACTGATTAGTAAAGTTGGAAACAACTTTACAGGTGAGTTTTCCATAGAGAAGGCACTTCGAATAAGACCTCATAAAAAAACAGTTGCCGCACATAACCAACAAGTCCTAGATCACTTCAGAAGTATTGGAACAGAGATGTTTATGATCAGAGCTCAGGATACGCTAGTGGATGCTACCAGAAACGAGGAAAATATCGATATGGAAAGAGCAGTGCCGAAGGACATCGACAATACGGCTGGACTTCCGAAAGAGCTGGAGATATTTGTGGGAGCAAAAGTGATGCTAAGAATCAATATGGATGTTCAAAAGGGACTGGTGAATGGTGCAATGGGCTTCATATCTGAAATCATATGGCCATTGTTTCATAGAGGACAATTACATGATTATGACATACCTTCAGTCCGCATCGACTTTGGCAGAGATGGCATCCATACAATCAAACCAGTATCGAAACAATTCCCTGCCAACTACAGCTATGGCACTATCGAAAGAAGAATGCTACCATTAATACTCTCATGGGCTTCTACAGCACATAAGATGCAGGGATCAACTGTAGACTACGCAGTATTGGATCTAGGACCAGATGTATTTGCAGACGGTCAGGCATACGTAATGCTCAGTCGAGTAAGATCTCTTGATGGTGTTCTGATTGAGAAGCTAGAATGTGAGAAACTAACAGGCAAGAAACCTTGCAACAAGGAAGCTTTGAAAGAAATGGAAAGACTTAGAGCCATTGCACGAGACTAAATAAGCATAATAATAAAAATTGACTTTATAATATGACTAATACAACTTGACTATAGTAATATAATAATATAATTGCATAAATATATAATGACATTTAAATCTGACATAGTGCTCTCGGATCGCACTTTAAAAGGTAAGGTCCACTGATAGACTTCAAGTCTAACTTTTTGCAAACATAGTAGACGAATACACATGAGCAAAGTTCAGTAATATCATGATTGAAATATTGTCGAGATATCAATTATTTAACATGACTAAAAAGTAGAAAATAAAAATACTTAAAAAAAAACTTTTTTTTAAAAAACACGCTTTTATTTCCGATTACAGTGCACTAAAAAGAAGAAAATAATTTTTTTTCTGAGTACCCAAATTTGATACAAAATTTTATGACTAAAAATAAAAGCGTGGGGCGCTTATAAAAAACTTAAGTATATTTTCCATAATTTATTTACATTACGTTCTAATTATCCTTTTCTTGTTGATGTAAAGACCTTTAAAAATTTTGTGTCTCGAAAATAGCATCTATTAAATAGGTATTATGTTAAATTTGTATCTTTGACATGGAGGAAGTAGTTAGATTAAGCAAAGAAGTAGGACTATGTGTGATTTCTAATCTCGACCACACTGGGAATCCTACCTTAGTCTCAGATAAATTTTATTTTTACTTCACCTAGATTTAACATAATTTGTGTTGCCTTACGCCTTTCCTTAGTATGATACAAACATAAAAGACCTAACGTTTATATAAACATACACGGATGATTTTTTTAAATTGTTATGGAAAATATAGTTAAGTTTATTTTAAGCGCCCCACGCTTTTATTTTTAGTCATAAAATTTTGTATCAAATTTGGGTACTCAGAAAAAAAATTATTTTCTTCTTTTTAGTGCACTGTAATCGGAAATAAAAGCGTGTTTTTTAAAAAAAAGTTTTTTTTTAAGTATTTTTTTGTGATTAACTTTCTGATATTCTCGGTTCTTCATTCAATCTTATAGAATGGAATAAAATGTAATAAAGTTTTCTGTGTGAAAATTGGAAGTGATGCTTTAGAGATTAGATGATTCTTTGTGTTGATTTTACAGTAAATGAAAGAATTAATGGGAGCTTACAAGAAATGAAAGGATAAAAGACAGATATGATAAATTAGCTTTAGATTATTCCGTTGCATTTAATAGCCTGAGAATTGCTTAATATTAAAGATATGATTTTTTTTTGTTGAATTTTTTTGGGGTCTAAGTTTAATATTTAGTAACAGAACTTCATAACTTTTCAATCATATCTTTGCATTTAAACATTGATCACTAAATTTTGAAAAAGTTCAAACTGGCATTACTGTTTATTGCTTAGAATGGCAAATCACTCACCCAATTAAATACCAAAGAACAAAGCTCATAAAATCATAAATAGCTACAAAATCAAAATCGATGGAATAAAGTCATGAATCATTAAATACAAACAAATCAATCACATATTAAGCAAACTTCGGTTAATGCTTAGACTGAACAAAATCTACACATCGGTGACTTTGAAAACAACATTATTAGGTTTCTAAGAAATGACATAGACAGCAGCACTGCACATAATTAAATATCAAATTTGAACAAAAAAACTCTGCTTTCAATGTTCATAGATGAAATAAATTCCATTCCTTGCAAAAATGTTTAAATATAATAAATCAACATCATCATCATCGTAGTCTATGCTGAAAATTTTTCATTACATCTAACTGCGTATATTATCTTCATCATTGCATTGCTCAAACTAAGATGCATGGAAAAGCAGAGAGAAATAATTCGACATATGTTTATACAAAATTTTATTCCATTATTTATAATATTCATATCTTGTGTATGAAAGTAAATTGTGAAGAAACTTTTGATTCCATCCAGAATTAATATGAAGATATTTTTTTGGAGTTTAATTTGAGCAATTTACGTATGATTATATGTGAAGATTTTTGAATGAAGTTTGCATGTAAAAGAAATGTTTTGGATGATGCTTATGTGAAGTTTGATGAGATAAAGGGAAGATCTTCAAATCTACACTTCTATCTGATTGATTCATTCAAAATTTATGCATTAATTAAATTTCTTACCTTTTTTCCAGGCGGTTTATTTTCACCATTACCCTCAAACGACGATCATCAAACAACTGATCCACAAGAGATTGCATTCAAGTATGCTGTAGAAAAAATCAATGCAGACAATAAAATTTTACCACGCTCCAAGCTCCACGCTGAGATTGAGAGAATTTTACCGCAAGATAGCTTTCATGCATCAAAGCGTGTTTGTCATTTAATGAAAACGGGCGTTGCGGCAATTTTTGGACCACAATCATCACATACAGCATCTCATGTGCAGAGCATTTGTGATACAATGGAGGTAATGTAAAGGTGTAAAGTTAAACTCGAGTATGAAAAAAAAAATGGATGTGAAATTATTTGGCGGAACAAGAAGGTTTACGAGTAAAACATTGGATTGATGCAGTTCTCTTCTTCACCCACAACTCATAACATGAATGATTTCAAATTGAAAAACCAACTTCGTGGGAAGAAAAAGATTTATTGAAGAACAAATCTTTTGACGCACAGTAAATTCTTACAAAAATGTAAAAACGAGAACATGTGAATAATGAGTTTTCGTCACTCGAATGTTTATTGTACATGACTTAATAGACGGAAGAATTCAACGTTTTACAATTCTTGTTAATAATCTCATGTGCGAATTTAAGCCACGCACCATTGACCCTAATTGATAAAGTAAACCTAATGCAAAAATGATAAATTATACAAACAAAAATACAGAGTTTACATTCTTTAATTTCTCATTTGAGTCTTTTAACATTGAGATGTAGACTAATGAGACCTGATTCGTGTGAACCTTACAGGAATATTTATTTGATCCCCAAATAATACACCTAATAACCTATCTCCTCATTAAGAGTCTGTAAATAATATATTAGCAACAAGAGTTCATCTATTTCACTTTAATCTAATCATTTTGTTCCAAAAAGGAATTAAAATCCAAAAAAATGTGAAAAAAATCGCTCCTGGGTGGGATCGAACCACCAACCTTTCGGTTAACAGCCGAACGCGCTAACCAATTGCGCCACAGAAGCAGTTATTATTATATAACGATCTTTGCGAAAAAAATAATTACATCATAAGTAATTTACATGCTTTAGCAAATGCTAAATTTGTGCAACTTTTTTATCAGCTGACATTGAATGAAATTTTGTATAAATCTACAGAAACAAAAATAAATCAAGATTTTTTTTTTTCTCAAGAAAAGCTCATAAAATCGCGATTTAACAATTCAATAAAAGACACAAGAACTTTAAAACTTCTCTTTTTTTTCTTCATCTTTCATCGATTCTTTTTGTTCTCACCTTTGCAATCCCATTTAGATTCCACATTTGGAAACAAGATGGGATTATCGACTGAGACGTGAGAGCTGTTTAGTAAATCTCTACCCACACCCATCGACGTTATCGAAAGCTTATGTTGATTTGGTTAATGCATGGAAATGGAAGTCATTTACAATAGTTTATGAGACAAATGAGGGCTTAGTGAGATTGCAGGAGCTTCTTAAAGCTCATGGGCCTTCTGAATTTCCGATAACTGTCAGACAATTGAGTGATTCTGGAGACTATAGGTAAAAATATTATTTATAATGTATATTATTCCTGTAAATATAATGATAATTTTATTTTCATGCATAGGCCACTACTTAAGCAAATAAAGAATTCAGCAGAATCACGAATTGTCCTTGACTGTACAACTGAAAAGATTTACGAGGTTTTAAAACAAGCGCAACAGATTGGCATGATGAGTGACTATCATAGCTATTTAATAACATCGCTTGATTTAAATACAGTCAATTTAGAACCATTCCAATACGGTGGTACAAATATAACAGCATTTCGTCTCGTAAATCCCGATAATCCACTTGTACGCCAAACGGTTAAAAACTGGACCGCAATTGATGCAAAAATGAATGGAGGAAAGAAAGTAAATTTGTATGACAATACATCTACCATAAAAGCCGAAACAGCATTAATGTATGATGCTGTCCATTTGTTTGCGAAGGCACTTCATGATCTCGACTCGAGTCAACAGATTGACATTCATCCATTATCGTGTGATAATCAAGACACATGGCCGCATGGATATAGTCTCATCAACTACATGAAAATTGTCGAAATGCGTGGACTAACGGATGTCATAAAGTTTGATCATCAAGGCTTTCGTACGGATTTCATATTGGATATAATAGAGCTTTCACCACTTGGCTTGAGGAAAGTAGGCACATGGAATTCAACACAAGGTGTTAATCTCACGAGAACGTACGGAGACCAACAGAAAGAGATAAAAGAGATATTAGCCAATAGAACTTTAGTAGTGTCGACAATTTTAAGCAGTCCTTATTGTATGAGGAAAGAGGCAGAAAATCGTCTAACAGGAAATGACCAGTTTGAAGGTTATGCTATCGATCTCATTCATGAAATCTCAAGAATACTCGGCTTCAACTTTACAATACGACTGGCTCCAGACGGACGATATGGAAGTTATAATCATAATACCGGGTAAGGAATAAATTGATGTTTTAACTAGTGTATTAAGTAGAAACACAGTTATGCTTATTTGGACCTCATTGAAGGAATGTATATGTCTCTTCTATGATTTACACTTCAAAAAATTTATCATTTCTTCCTCTTTCCAATCGTATTGTTCGATCCCTTCCAATCAAACAGTTTCAAAATATTTCATAAATCTCTTTCACTTACTTCTTTCCCTTCGAGCTTTAAATAAATGTTTCGAAACAAGTCAGCTTACAAGCTCTAAAGCTTATCTTAAAACATCGCATTAAATTTTCAAAGTTTAATGCATACAAAGCAGAACTTTTCATTGATTTCCATATTTTCTTTTATTCTTACAACGAATATAGCGAATGGGATGGTATGATAAAGGAACTTTTGGATCAACGTGCTGATGTAGCTATAGCAGATCTTACAATAACTTATCAGCGTGAGCAGGTGGTCGATTTTACAATGCCATTTATGAATCTTGGGATTTCGGTTCTGTATAGAAAGCCGATAAAGCAACCGCCAAATCTCTTTTCGTTCCTGTCTCCACTTTCACTTGATGTTTGGTGCTATATGGCGGTAAGTATAGAGAAATGGCGCGAAATAATAAAAAGTTATGAAACTCAAATCTGTTCATGAATTACATTGAATTAATATATTCCTTTCATCTACAGACTGCATATCTCGGTGTATCCATCCTTCTGTTTATATTAGCCAGGTAACATAGCAGAAAATCCACAAATTTAATTAGCAACATTAACTCTAATTTCAGCAAAAAGCAACCGTCCACAAGTTTTTGTTCTTGTTTTTATCGGTCCAAAAATTAATTGGACGTGAATTCTTGTTCACTTATGAGTGGCTTTCCAATTAAATTTTCCTACATTCTCCTTTCTCTCCTCACTCTGTTGTGTTTACACATCTCAGTTCCGTGTGTTAATGTTTATTTTGTGTGTCATCAACACAACATAAAACTTTAATTCTATTCTCTCCGTCCTGTAGATTTACACCGTATGAATGGAGCTCACCTGATCAGCCCGAGAAAGCGGAAACACAATTTACTTTACTAAATTGCTTATGGTTTGCGATAGGTAAATCGACATCACTTGTCCTCAATTTTTGTTTTTAAGGCTGACGAACTTTTAAAATTGATTTTTTTATCGCATTTCCGTTTCCACTTTACCTTAACACAATCATCAATAAATAGGATCACTTATGCAACAGGGCTGCGATTTTCTTCCAAAGTAAGATAAAGCTTCATTATTGTGCCTGTTTTTTTGTCGAGGTGATGACGACAAAATGATAAAAGTCATACCAAAAATTGTTTTACGCTCGTGTACTAAAATCGTAAAGCGATGAGACTGTTGACGACATGATAAAAAAAATAATTTTGCTTCTTTGCTGTGCCTTATTCTTTCTGCTTTGTGTAGGCTTTAATATTGACGCTTTTGTAGACGTGATAATATATTTTTCAAATTATTGAGTATTTTGTGTTGTGAAACAAGAATTTTTGTAAGCTTGAGGGCAGATATCTTGCATAGCTACTTTTGGGTCTGTTTTATAAGGCTTTGTGGAACTTAAAAGAATTAATTTTATTTTTATTGCTTCGAAAACTTGTTTTGCTTCCTGATCGTTGCAAATAATTAATGTAAGCTCCTGATTGTAAACAGAAATAAATATTTGTCAAAATCGGTAATAATGAATTTTTTAAGTTTCTTGGTTTTCATATTTTAAAGCCACAAAAAAAAACAATCTAAATTTAAAACATCTTAAACTGATTCTCAAAACCACATCCACTCTACATGAATCAAAAACCTCTTTCCATTTACTGAATCCCAAAATCATTAAACGTCTAAAATAAATTGCCAATCTATGTACTTACTACGAAATGACCAAGAAATAATGAAAATTAATTATTATTGTGTGAGCTTCTAATTACTTTCTTAATTAATTGATGCGTTAAAGTGAGGAAAAAAGCTTGTTCCTCTTGATATAACCTTAATGGTGATTGAATTGATGGTGAAGACGATCATAAGGATGGTTAAAAATTTGGAGATGTTTATTTTATTTTGAGGCTGAAAGAGTTTTTGAAAATCTTAAATACAGAAAAACCCCAATTACTAGCTATGTAACATTAAGCTCTTACAATTTTCGAAAGCTTTTAATTTTTAGCTTAATTATTATCGTATTGGTGTAAATTTGACTAAAATTAAATTAATTTTATTATTTGCATACAAATTAACATCCAGGTAAAATTGCGTTCCAAATGCTAACAAATCTGCATCAACTGACCTCCACACAAAGTTTCCAAAAAACAAACTCATTCATATTCAATATCAAAATTGACAATCGGTGAAAATTCAACAGATTTTCTCATAAATTTGCACCAACAAAAAGTTTATAACGGAATGTCGATTTCCTTAAACATTCTAACATCCTCTCCACACGGGTTTTAAAAATGCACAAAAGCTGTAATTTTCCGCTTGAATTCGAGGCATAAAATTTCCATCGTCAACTCACAGCGTGTTTTGTAAATGAATCTCATAAATTATGATGGCAAACAATGGCTGAAAATTGAGTGAAACTTTTCTGTCTTTTTGGATTGAGAACAAAAAAAAAGTCATGAGAACTTTTTCACATCCTCTTAAAAGTGACTTCTTGCTTTTTTCGTGTTTTATTGTGTATGAGTGTGTTAGTGTGAATGGATGAATATTCTCTCATGTCAATATCTGGATGAGTAAAGGATGGAAAACCTTTTTGTATGTTAAATCTCTTAAATCTTGCGGCTTTCAAGTAGAAAAATTCGAAAATTCTCTCTCTACCCTTAACCGGTATCTCTTTAAGTTTATGGATAAGAAAAGGTGAAAGAACTGACAAAAAGCTTTTTATTGAGAGACTTGTTTGGGGACAAAAGGAGAAAGTATGGGAAAAATTTTTACTTTTTTGTATTATGTCTCTTAGATTTTCGCCTTATGAATGGGAAATACCGCATATATGCCAAAAGGATTGCGAAGGGATCTTAATAAATCAATTCTCATTGCTTAACAGTCTATGGTTCACAATAGGTGAGTTGGATGTCGTTTATTGCTGTAAAAAATGGCTATAATAATTTATTGTGAGGGGAAGTTAATAAAGGATTTTTATCGTGTTATGTGATTTTTGTGAAGTCGTCGGCTGTTCTTGAGACTTTGTCAAATTAGAATTTATAGATGTAAACGTTAATAGTCTGAATGCTCAAAGGTTATTTTTGAATGCAAATTAAAGTGGACTGAAGAAATCTGAATGAAATATTTAAAAATTTACACGAATTTTTAAAAATATTCATCCATTAATACACATCAACAATTATCAGCCTCAATTTCATTAATTATTCTACTTGCATATCTTCAAGGCGATTTACTTGACTGTGAATTATAATAAAATTTCACATTCACAGGCTCAAATAAAATTGAATCTCCTAAATTATGCATGAAATGATGCTCTTTTACTTTAATATCATAGAAGGTGTGGAATGTCCATCTGACACAAGCTTCTGAAATCCTCACAATCTGCGGCTATTTAATAAAGAAAAATAATTAAATATTATGACTGAATTTGTGTTTGCTTTCTAATTTTTAAACCACACTGATGCTGTATCTTTAATGAAGGCTCGCTCATGCAGCAAGGTGAGTTTGTGAAATAAGAAAAATATTTTTATTAAAATTTTCATTCTGGATGTTTTTATTGAAAGAAAATAATTTTTTTCAATTTTCCTTTTTTTTCTTATTTTCATCCAATCGTTAGGCTCAGATTTAAGTCCGAAGTAAGTATTTCAATTACATTTGAAATGAAACTCATTGCAAATCGTTCACAACTTAATTGTTTTGTTTTTCTTTCCTTCCATCTTACTTAACTTTTCTTCTATTATTTTTTATTTCTTTCTATTTCTTATTCTTCTTTAACGTTTCTCTTCCTCCTGGAAAAAATACATTTTTTAAATTTAATAAAAAATCAATTTGTTTTCAATTTAATTTTCATTTTTTCTGGTTGGATACATGCTTTGGGCTGCAATTGAAGTTACCATAAAATGACATGCTAAACTGTTTAACTAAAGACAAACAAATCAGATTTAATTTTCACAATTCCAATAATTTATAATTAAAATTTGATTTAAAAAATTCGAAATTTCAATTGAATGAATCAATTTACATAAACATGAAATATTAACGGTGATGATTATTTTGTTGAATCACAAATCTTATTCTATGATAATTTTTTGGTTGGATGTCTTCAAATCATTCAATCCTTCCATTTCAAGTTAATTCATTTTCAGATTGCAAAACAAATTTTGCCTACGGCTCAAGTTGTTTTTTGAGATAAAAATACATTTTAATTTCATGAGTGTTGAAATTGCTTCTTTAAAAGATGTCCTTTTGCGGAGCAACAGAAAAAATTTTGTCAGTAGCCAAATCACAAAAATAAACAATTTCAAAAGTGAGCATTTCTTAGGGCACTTCGCATGAGTTGACTTGTCAAGAAAATTATATGTCTGTCAAGGTTCATAAAAGATGCTCTTTGATGATTTTGTTGCCTTTAAAAGGCTACTTTTTACAATAAATAATTCTAAGAATTTATTGATGACCAAAAATAATGAATGTAGGTCAATTATTTAAGGTGTTTAAGCATGTTCTTTTGGAAGGTTTCTCTGAAAAAATTCAATTTAAATATTTTTATTGATTTTCTTTCTTACTTAATTTTGGTTGCGGATTATTTTTTTACGTTTCATTAATTTCATAATTATTGAACTTTTTTTTATTAAAACCTGACTATTTTCACTTTCCAATCTCCTCTGTTGTTCAATTTATTCTCTCATTAAATATAGAGAAAAAAAATTATTGTTCACACAACGATCCGTAAAAAAAATATTTCTTTCGCCTTTTTTCTATCCAACACTTCTATTTCACTTAGAATTATCCTTAAGTTGATAGAATCACGATCACATTTATTTTTTTACTTTAGGGATTTTGATGGGGACTGGGTAATTGTCAAGACAAGAGATCAAGAAGCTCTTCACGTAAATTTAATAAATCAGCAAAAAATAAAATAGAACTCGGCTGTAATATCTCACTCCAATAGTACTGATTGTCTCATGGTTAGATATTATAGCCGAATTCTTCAAAATAAAGACAAAATTTCCTCTTGTGTTGTGGACTGGTACAATTACCCAGCATCATTTAAATGATAATTTGTTGTAAAGTGAAATGAATTTTAATTTGTATTCACATGAGTGAGAGCGTGTAGAGAGCATTTTTGAGAATGTTTAATGTGCAAGAAAGTGAATGAGAACAAAATGTTAAATGAACGGATTTCAAATCTACTGTAATTAGAATTGTTTGCATCAGATTCCTTTAGAGAGCAATTTTAGGGATGTTGAAATAAAAATCGAATTCGTGTTGATGGTTCTGAATATAATTGTTTGCTGTGTAAATATTTGAAAGAATAATTTACCTTTATGTCAACATAAGAAGACTTTTTTGATTCATCGTCACCCTTTTCTCACTCGTTGATATGATACAATTACGATATGTAGATGAAATAAAAGGCATTTAAATAAATCCTTCACTTTAATGTGAGATTCAGACATGAAAAAAGTTAAAAGAGGGGAACAAGCAGTAAAAACACCAATAAATATCACAATGTGAGCGAGAATGCGTGAAGAGGCTGATAAATGTCACACAATAAGAATGTCTTCATATTTAACAATAGAATTTGAAGATTACAAAGGTTCTTGAGAACAAGAAGCTTTTAAATAAATATTTCTGAGAAGCTGTTTTTTTGACAGAGATTAAAACAAGAATTGTTGAATTTTTAAATTAAAAAAGAAGAATTTGTGCAAAATTCTGTCCTTTTAACTAATCTCAGGTACATAATACTTCAAAAAATTCCATTGACTGCTCGAAGATTCAAATCCAAATTTGCAGCTTAGTCTCTAAATTCTCCTAAAATATTAAATCAGCTTGTTTAAAATTTGTTTCAGTCAAAATGAAGCTCAAAATCCTCTTTCTTATCATAATTTTAAATTGAAATTTTTTTTAAAAGCGTTATACGTCTGAATCACATTAGCTTGTCACGAATGTCACATGATTTTTTCGTCTTAAATAATAAAAAGTTTCCTGGAAAATGATTATGTGAATAAAAATGGAATTGAATCAAATGAGTTCAGCATGAAAAAGTGCCTCATTTCATTTCTAGTTTGTTCTTTAATCTTTAATTCATTTTTATTTATAACACATTTTTTGTCACTTTTTTACGTTTGAATAAAAATCGAAAATGCGAGAATAAAAAAAGCCTGAAGAAAAGTTTCCGTTCATTTGTGTATTCTTGAGGCAGATTCGCCATTGAATTATGTCTTATATTCAAGTTTACTACTGAAAATTCAGAATTTTTCATTTGCATGCCATTGACGCTCGTGGAGAGAAGAAGAATGAGTTTGAATTGAAATCTTTAGGGAAAATTGTGTAGAATTCCTTAAATTTATTTTTGTACTGACTTAACTAATGCTTTAAGTTGTGGTGCCAGAGCTTATTGAAAAACAGAGAATCAAGTTATGAGAAACTGAAGTGGAAATACAAAAAAAGTCATTGTGTCAACATGATTTTTTGAAGAACTATTTAAAACTTTAACCAAAAAAAAATCTCAATTTCTCACCCAAATCGTCCATTATGCACAATAGAAATTCATATTAACCTCGAATAGACCAAATCTTTCCTGCTTCAATGTCGACAAAATATTTGAATTTTACAGGGAATTTATTATATTCAGAAATTCATTAACACAGTAATTGTATAATAATCATCGTTTTGAAACTATTTATAGTAACTTGATGATGTTTTTCTCTCATCCCTCATAAATATTCCTGAACAAAAACAACCCCAGAACACTTCACAAAATTGATTTAATATTTTAACAGTATAGTTTGATGCAGGGTTTGATGTTAAAAAGGCAGATGAAAAAAAAAAGTTTGAGGCAAATTTCACTCTTCATTAATCTAATAAAAATTTATGTGTGCTTCGCTTTGCGTTTTTCTCCTTTCATGAAACTGTCTTCACCTTTCGCCGTTTGTCGTTTCTTCTTATTTTCTTAAATAACTTTTGTTGGTTTGAAATTTAAGTTTAAAGGTAATTTAAAATTTTTATGCTTTGTATAATACTGAATAAATCGTTCAACTCCTTCAAAATAATTTTTATCAATTTTATACAAGTTTTATGCGCTAATAATTTTCATAGGAGAACTGTTTCGTAAAATTTATAGCTATTTGTAAACATAATTATTTTCAATGATTTTTCACAAGCGGTGTAATAATGGTAAAGATCTAATCCCCATCACACTTAGTTTTTCCTATTCTCCTCGAAAAATAATAAGATCCTCGCTTCATTATTTTGGTTTTTCAAGAACTGTCTCCTGAAAACAAACTTTGTCTCGTTATAATATGCTTCTCATTTAAAACGCAATAAAGCACGTGTAGTTGATTTTATAAAATTATATTTAATGGATTCATGTTATATTCACATAAGTTCTTAATAGAAAAAAAAGAAAATGAAAACTTTTATGCAACAATAGCGAAAAGCATTTTTGAAATAGAATTGTTTTAAAATTCAAAGAAGAAATAACTGTTTTTGCAGAATTTGTATTAGCAAAAAAAATTGGAAATCTGGTAAGAAATTGAAAATAAATATTTGTGTTTCTGTAGAATATGTAGCATATTAGTCTATTTTGATGTTTTTACAATATTTATTTATTTAACAAGCACACTATGGGGCAAAATGAAAAAAAAAGGGACTTTCACTTTGAAAAATGGACTTTTCCGATTTACACTTTTTGGGTGATTTTTTCTTGTAGAGGACATAAAAGTAGATAGAAATGCCAAATTTCAGGTCATTTGGTGCTGATTTCGCGATTCTAGAGCTGTTTGAAGTTGAAAACTAGTGAAAATTCTGGTTTTTTCATACCATGTTTGAACCGGGAAATATCTTAACTGGTTTAAGATATTGCAAAACGGTTTTCAGTTCCTATTAGTAGTATATAAGAGCTTTATTTTGACATATAACAAAGTTTAGGTTCTGAATGTTTTCGTGCCATTATGGTAGAACATATGTGAAAATTTCAGGAAAATTATCTTCAAACAAGCCGCAACTATCATAAATGAAGAGTTTCCAGGCAAGTAAAAACGCAGTTTTGTAGCCCCATATATCTAGTTTTCAAAACTGTATAAACTTTGAAAAAGTAAGCTAACGTAATTGAGTTATGTTGATTTTAGTAGGTCGTTGAGTATTTGGCCAAAAACTAATAATTCTTTTAAAAATACGAAAACATAGTTTTAAAAATAGTTTTTTGGTGTTTTCTTATGAAAAATAACAATTTAAATGATTTTGTGAAGAAAATTTTTCAAAAACTTCAAAATCTTTCGAGATATAGGGGGTATGTGCTCTCCATCGATTTGGCCATTTGTCACCCTACTTAAACCACTATAACTTTTTTTTGAAAAAATATTTTTTAATTCTGTTTTCGGATTATTGTAGCCTAATGTAATACCTATCCAACGATATATAATACTTGCTAGTTAACTTAGTCCTGGTTATTTATAGGGCTGTTGATTGTGACATACGCAGTTTTTGAAAAATTCCCAAAAATTGCATTTTCAAAAATACCACTTTTAAGCAATCTCGAGTATTTTTTGGACTTTTTTAAGAAATGTTAAGTCTGAAAAAAGCTATTATCATTAGAGTAATAAAAAAAATACTCTGATACGCAACTATAATAGGT